CCCCCCCCCCAGCCCCCAGCTTGGGTCTCTCAGTAAAGATTAGGGAAGGAGCGCTGAATGGCTGAGCTGTAGGGCAATGAAAACGGAAGGTCGGTGGAGGCTTGTTGAGGAAGTTACCAGGCAGGGAAAAGCAGTCTCGGCCCTGGCCCTGCTTTGCATGATCAGTGCTGAGCCTGGTCGCAGAGAACTGTCTGAGGTGAATAGTGCAATAGAATCCAACTACCCCAAGCCCCATTGAGGCCGAGAGAGAGAAGAGGGGGCTTACAAGGGTGGTACACACAGCAAGTCGGTGTGTGGTGGGATGCTAGTCTCCTGATACATGCCAGGACTTAATCCATCATCTATCCACGGGTCCTGCAGGAGGTGACAGCTGTGTCTGATCTAGAAGAACCTAAGTCAACCGATTTCAGTGGACAGAAGAAGTGGGAAGAGGGAAGGGGGAGTCAGGGAGGGCCTCCCGGGAAGGAGGAAAAGCTTGGATAAAAACAGTAAGGTGGAAAAGAGTAGGACAGACTCTAGGAACAGGGAACAGCTTAGTGTGGCCGCACTTGATGGAGGGAGACAGACGAAACTCAGGTTGGGGCGGATCATGGAGGGCAAAAGAACCACTGAGCAGGTGGGCTGTATCCATTGCAGAGGAAAAGGAATGCTGAGTGGTTTTTCAGCAAAAACGCACAGGTCATGACGAGGTGTTGCCTAGAGTTTTGTCTCCCTCTCTAGACGGTGAGTTGTGGAAGGCCAAGATTTTGTCTTGAAGACCTAGCACGATGCCTGGACCTTTACTAGAATCAGCAAATTACTGTGCAGAATTAACCCCCATCCTCAGGAACTCAGATGGAACTTTCTGGGGGTTTCTTACCTCAACTCCAGACTCTGCTTCAACAATCCAGTTGAACCCATGCAGCCGGCTGTAACCAAGCCCCAGTGTTTTCACATATAATACGTATGTTCAGATCTAGGTATCTATACAATTGTACTTCAACAAGTTCGTGGAACAATAGAATTAAAAAATAAATACGAATCTTTTCCTAAACTTTTTGAAATACTCTGGTATTACTCCACAAATAATAATCAGGTAAAGTAGGACACTGGTGCCACTAACACCTAGAGCCCATCCTGTAGGGAACATATTCAGTCCTCACACTAGATTAGCCCCACTACAGTCCTCAACTGTTTTTGTTTTTGTTTTTTTTGATTTGTTTTTGCCTTTCAGATCTAAGGAATTCATCTGTTAGCAAGTAAATAGATTTTTTAAATCATCACTTTAGGGCTCCAATCTGGAAACATTTTTTTTTTTTTTTTTTTAGTTAGCCTATTAGAAAAATCTTATCTACACAAATTTTTCTTCTTTTAGTCAAAACTTTTTATAGCTGTATTGTCAACACTGCTTTCCTTAGTCTTAATATATCTTGGGAATTTTGGCTATGTCCTTAAGCTTCAAATATTGAGAAAATATAAAACAATTAAAGCTTTGTGTCATGTGTTTTTTTAAAAACTTACAAACAAAGAATCAGGAAGAGAGATTAAATTCACTTATTTCCTGATTTCCAGACACATTATATGAAGTGCTCCAAGCCATAATCTCAATATCGCAATAATTCCTAAAAATATGTGGTTGGTGAACATGCCAAAGTAAACACATAGACAAATTCCATGTTCCGTAGCAACTTCTTTTCATGGCATTCATTCCTTTTGTCAAGGATACTTTGACAAGCTCTGAGGAGACTGGCTGCTTCAAAGATTGCCCCAGTCACGGGATAAACTTTTCCAAACTAGGTGATGTGCTGTGCAGTCTCTTCCCTGCCTCCCACCCCCCAGTACACTTCCACTGAAAGGCAAGGGTAAAATTTGATTCTTCTATGAGAATAAATTAGTTTAATTAACATATAGATTACTTGTATGACAGCTAATATACCCACACCAATGAAAGACAGAAGTTATCTTTCAGACAAAAGGAGAATATTAATCTCTCTCTGATCTTCAACCTAATTTATTTGGTCTTTTTTTTTTTTTACCCAATGACTCCTGTAAATCACACTTCATTCCTCAAAGACCAGACTAGGGATTGGAGTTTTCATTATATTTTAGTGCCACCTTGTGGCAATCTTTACAGTGTTTTCCTAAAAATATATATAAATATATATAAAACCTTTAGTTAAAAAGGCATGCATTTTATGAATATTTTCATTTCAAAATCTTCCACAGAATGTAAAACTCTAAAGAATGCTTTACAAGTAGGTATTCTAGAAATTCACACACATGACCTTTTTCATATACACTTTAAAGAAAATAAATTCCTTCCTAGTTAAATAATAACTCCCAAAAGAGATTAGAAGAGATAAAGGTATGGAACCTTGCTAATTTACAAACCAATGGACTTTATTTTTCCCTAATTACAATGTACATAAATATAAAACAGCTTTAACCACAAAAATCATACGATTTTTTTCCCTAGTTAAGAAAGAAAGCCATTGTTGGATACTCTGGTATACTTAGAAGTAATAATAATTCATTCACCAGTAAGCATTTATTGGGAACCAGCAATGCAATAGACATTCCTGACAGCCGTTTGAGTTTTAAAGTTTTTCTCATTTAAGGAGTAGCTTAAGGTCTCTAGGAAAATTGTCAACCTTGCATCTCTATGCAGTGAGCTTTAAAACTGGAAAGGTTTTTCTGAAACTAGCCGTACTATTCCATGTGGAAGAACATAGACGGTCTATCTGGTCCATTTGGTGTCCACTCTGCCATGAGTTAGAGAGCTGAGGAGCCCCCAAACTGCTTTCTGGGATCTCCAACTACAAGCAGGAGCAGGTAAAAATATCCTTCTTCTGCACTGAGATTGTGACCATTGTGACCCAGGGCTAAGAAGGAGAGGGCTGGGCTCACAAGAGAACCACCATAGCTTTTAAACTTAGGAACCTGGGCATTGAACTCTGATCAGAACCGCCTGTCTGTCCAGCCCAGAGCCAGGCCAAGGGGAACAGGCAAGTCTGGGATCTCTCCAAAACTGCACTGTCAATACAGTAGCCACTAAGCACATGTGGCTATTGGGTTCTTGAAATGTCACTGGTACTACTGAGGAACTGGGTTTTTAATGTTATTTAATTAAAATTAAGTTTAAAAACTGAAAGGAATGGGAGGGTAGAAAAGAAAGAGGAAGGTTACAAGAACTCGCCATTACATAATTTGGTTCAGTTATTGGGAAACCTTTAGGTACATTTGAAACAACTTAGGTATGTGAGTCTGTTTTTTCGACTGGAAATTTTATGAAACCTAAATAGAGAGTATTTTTGATGAAAGTTTAGTGAAGCTGTAACTATAAAATAAACACTAGAATTTGAAGACTTCAATTGAAAAATATGTAAAATAGTTCATTAATTTTTATATTAATGACATATTGAAATGGTAATAATTGGGATAGAGTGGATATATTTTTAAATATATAAGATTTAATGTGTTAGGTATATTTGAGTACATTATTCAAATGAATTTACTTTTTTACATTTTTTAATGTGACAACAGATTATATTTCTATCGGACAGCGCTGTGCTAAAATGTCTCAAAGTTCAATGACTGCCTGGCTTCTTCTTCAGACACCAT